CAGCTCCTTGTCCTCTGGCCTCTTGCTCTCACTGTGCCAAACCAAATGCTTTTGGTTCCCACTTACCTTCTCCAGATAAATGTAGACCACATCATCTTTCACTTCTAATTTCTTAACAATGTTTCTGCGCTCCAGCTGGGATAGGAAACAATAACACAAGGAAATTTTTGAGCACTTTCCTGACCTGAGGGACCCTCTATTGTATTGAAGGGATGGTGTGGAGCTGGAATCTGTGTGGAACTGTGTCTTTCTCACGCATAAGGGTCTTAGTGGTTGTATCTTTGGTAATCCCTCCTGGACATTCCTTTTGAGCATCTTGGGGATGAACTATTCTGTCCCTGCCTAGTTAGAGGAATCTCCCACTCTGGGGGCAAAAGGCTGTGTGGATGAGTTGGTCAGCAAACAGGAGCAGGCACCAGTAAAGACTCTTGTTCTCTCATCTCACTGACTGCTAGACTGCTCTTAAAGACCTGCCTGGGGGCTGTGTAAATAATTAATCTTTCAGTTTTATGGCTTAGTTGGAAAACAATAATCTTTTTGCCTAGAACTAGAGTGTCTCTAAGAAATCTTGTCTTAGAATTTCTGGCAAACAAATCCTGGTGTTTAGCACACCCAGTAGCATATTTTTCTTCTGGACCAAGGCAGAATAGTGTCAGTGGGAGAAGCTGAATCACCTCTGATCTTCCATAGCCAGCCCTTGTGGGCCCTGTATGGAAATGAGAGGGTTTGGTTCGATTACAACAGCAAAAGGCCCCTGCTAATTTAGTTACCTTGTGGCCCAAAATGAACAGTTCCCAACAGGAGCAGGCAGGTTGGACCTAGTCACCACAGCTGCTTTTTTTTTTTTTTATTCCAAAGTCCTTACCAACATCCTGGATCCAGGAGCCAGGATGAATCCGGACAGCAGGGAGACCTCCATGATCACCATATTGGATGTGACTCTGCTCCCGATGTAGCTGAAGAAGAATAAACAGTCAGAGGGTCTGACTGTGAGAACAAGGCCCTCCCAGTGCCACTTCCCTCCACCACCATAGTCTGTGTGCAGCACCCTGAGCCAGGTAGCCTATCCGGGACTGGGGACATGGCAGCCACTGCTCCCTCTTGCAGGATGTAGCCAGCACCTTCCTTCCCCACCCCTCCCACCTACCAAATTCACCCTCTGTCCTGTCCACCCCAAGTGCCAGGTCCCTCTGTTACAGCCCTGAGGCTTTCCTGGCTGCTGTCTCCAAGCACAGCAGGTCTTGCTGGAGGAGGAAACAACCCTTGGAGTCACCTGGCAAGGATGCGGACGGTGAGGACACGTGCATTGGCCTGGCTACAGTTGGTCAGCTCTGTCTTGACACGCAGAGTGAAGGTTACAGCAGCCGGTGGGGGAGGCTTGTGGTACCTCAGCACCATCTGCAGGGTGAGGGCCAGGAGGGGAAAAGACAGGCCAGGCATGATCTCATGCAGGGAGAAGAGGCAGAGTCCTCCACCTCTCCTCTCTCCCACACTCGTCCTACCACCTCACCTGAGCAAAGATGCAGCTGCTGCCATGGACCTGCACCAGGAACTGCCCTGGGACCTCTGTCAGTGCTGCCTGCTGCACCAGCAGCCGCTTCTGGTGGTTGACTTGGAAAGCCTTCCCAAAGCCCCTCTGGGACTTTACCCTCACCAGCGCCTGGCTTGATGTGCTGAATGTCCTTGCTGCGTATTTTGCTAGGGCTTGCAAGGCAACAACTGTGTCCTAGAGAGGAAGAGACAGTCACCTGTCTGAAAGCATCAGTTCTAGTGAAGCTGACTTGGAACAGGAAGACCTCAAGAGGACTTGCCCTGCCAACTTTGGGTTTAAAAGTATATCAGTCCACAGGGAGCTACTTGTTACCTGGGTGGAGGCAAAGCCCCCATGAGCGTTCTGCTGCCGGGTCAGCCACGCCACAATACCAGCTGCAATTGTCATGTCACCTGCATGCACCCGTGGCTTAGAGAGGTATGCCAGGAGCACGTAGGCTGTCAACTCTATGTCCACTGATGGGGTATCAGGCCAGAAGTCTGTGGAAGTCGGAGAGCTTGGCTTGGGGCTCCAGTGAATTTGTCCTCCTGCAGAAGGAAGAGGAGCATGAAGGTTATCTGAAGAGGACATAATTGGGGTTTCATGGGAAACAAAACCCAGAGTGCTCTCAGGGCTCCTTCAGCTCATTTCCTGTGCTAAGGCCAGGATCACTTTCTTGTTTATTCTCCAGGGCTTCATCTGGTCTTAGCTCACAGATTCCTACCTCCTCCCTCAAGAGGATCTTGAAGTCATCCAGGCTGAGGCAACTCTCTTTCTGATAAGTCACCCTCACAGCTTGTGAAATAACTTCCTCTATTTTCAGTCACACAGTGCAGTCACTGCACAAATATAAGGAATACGTACAAATACATATATAATTTCTAACCGCTCTAGCTGGGCATACATTACTCCAAATCCCAGCAGGTGAACAAGAAGATTACCCCAACCAGCAGTCAGCACCTGATTTGATAGCCTGTTCCTCCAGTTTGTACAATAGCTCCTGGGTTGTCTCATAGTCCCCAGCCAGGGCAAAGGCATAGGCCAGCATGGCTTCTGTGTAGATGTTGGTGATGTTGTGAACCCCCCGCTGCAGGCAGCGGAGGGTCGTCTGCATCAGCTTGCCCTGTGTTGGGAGAAGAGGAATGTGCCAAACTCTGACAGGAGCAAAACAGGGGGCAGGGGAGCTCATCACAGGGAGACAGATTATGTCTTCCTGATG